TATTAAAAGGTAAACTATTCGATACATGTATTATAAAGTCGACTAAACGATACATGTATTACATGTTTAACATGTATCACTTTCATGATATTTGGCACGGTCGAAGATTGAGGCGCAGTATAATCTGCGGCTAACACCGGAATTATTTGCCGGATCACATATACTTATTAATTTGCATTTTTCTCGGCAAAAAAATTTCTGTCCCCAGATAACCCCCTTAACTAATTCTACCCTAATCCTAATCCTAATCCAAACCCTAACTCAAATACTAACTCTAATAATAAATACCCGGCAAATAAAATCCGGCTACATACCATTTTTTTTTTGAGTGATGCTATGGTTGTCGTAATTTTTATTTAGCAATCACGTGTCACCTATAATTTCGCGTTTCTCGTCACGATTTAACTCTATATATTTTCTTACTTGAACTCATTTTCGACAATATAGTGATTATTGAATGATCATAGGAATTATTAACGGATTTTAAAATATATAATAAAATCAATAGAGATTGTCATGCCAAAAATTTTTTTAATATTGTTACATTTAATTTAATTCCGCCCGAAAACACCATAATTTCGCATGTAGATTAGTCCTTTGTAGATCATTTTTGAAGGTTGGCATGATGCCAGGTTGGTAGGATGACATGATGGTAGGATTATGGAATCCGAAAACAGCTCCTCGCCCTTCTTGTACTTGCTTATATATTTTTTCGCCATTATAACTTCATAAATTTTAATTTGTAATTTGCTTATTTTTTAATTCCTGATTTTATTATGATTTTATTACTCAATTTTTATTATTATCGTAGTTTAATTAATTAGAATTTAATGATTTAGTATAATAAGTGTAGAGCGCCGACTTTGAGGCAACACTGATTAATTGATATTATTAAATAAATATAGCGTAAATATTACTTCATTTTTATTCAATAAAACCTTCTTAAAATTGGTTATAAACGAAAGAACGATATTTATTTTGTCGATCCAAAAAAATTCCCAATGTGTTACAAGAAAAAATAATCTATCTAATCAAGAGGAGAGAGTAACGAAACGAAATGAATCGAATGGTGCAAAAAAGTAAGGTTAACATTAAAGACCGAATTAGCCTAAAATGCTTATGCAATAAAATACTAACTACCTTATTTTCCCAAGCACAAGGCTAATTTTCTTTGCTATCTTGTGATGACATCAATTTTGATGTGATAAATATATAAAGTCACAATTCTAATATTTAAAAGAACACGGTCTGCTGATCGATAATAAAACAACTATTGCGGAATACCCATAACTGATAACAATATGTTTTTTGGAAATTGATTTCGCTTTTTAATTTATATTAATAATAACCATTATCAGTGTTAATACAAAAGTGAAATAGTGATTGCCTTTACATTACAAATTTATTATTATTGGGCTTTTTTGTTTTTTTAAAAAAATATGTATATGTATATATATATATATATATTTCTCACAATATTAATGAATAGAAAACACTCCATTCATGGATGAAAGAGAGACTGCAAATATCGGAGGTGAATTACCAGGACGTCATATTCACCTTCCATTCGAATTCAATGATGCAGACAAACTTGGGCCGTGGGACATACTGCTCAGTGAAAGCACTATCAAGGATATACAGAACATGGTTTTAAATGAAAACGTCGAAGATATGCGGGTAGAATTGCCTTTCACTATTGAAAGAGTCATGGAAAAACTTAGACAGTTATCTTCCGGGGCGTGGAACAAATACAAACTCAAACTTAAGGTGTCATCTCTCATCATTCCTATCTATGAAGTAGAGGTATCTGATAACGGTCTGAAGATTATCTGGCAAGTTGACTATGGGTTCTCTACCCGTAGCCATTTGTACACACAACATGTAAAGGTTTGGGCAGTCACCGCATGCCAAGAAAATATTAACAATACATTAAAAACCCTCAAAAGTGTTCATAAGATCTACACCCCCGAGTACATTAGTCGGTGTACGATCCAAAAGACAGGTAAAGGCAATGTCGATTTACCGAAATGCTTTGGGGATCAAGAGATAGTAAAGTTCACCGACGAAAAGTTAAGTGACGAAAAACTGCTTGAAGCCCATAAAATACTTGTTACAAATAAATTTATCCCTATATCAAGGGTAAGAATGCATAAATTCGTTATTAATATAAACATTCAGACTATATCATCTTAAGTAAATAATTTTTTTCGCAGAATTTATTCAAATCGCTCATACTGAGTGGCTCTGACTTCGCATTTCAAGTATCTAAGACCGAGTACGAGATAATTAGCCATCCTACGACGTTGGCGATTGTTTTTGGTCGATCGGGTTAGTTGATAATGCCATAATTAACTAGGAAAAAAATAGATTGAAGTTTGTTGATTCTATTCTAAATATTAGGGACTGGCAAGACCACTTGCATCGTATTTAGACAGCTCGTTTCATACTTGAGAAACCAACTTTATAGGAACCCATTATCGCATAGTGGCGACGAGGGTTTCTCTAAAAGGCAAATTTTTATTACAGTGAACAAAGAACTATGCAAGCGTGTAAAGAAATACTTCAAGAAGCTGCAGAATTCGGCGCTGCTTGCTGGAAGAAATATATCGAAGGTTGAGTTTATTGAGTGGAAGAAGAAGACACGTGATGTTATTATGGAGGAACTTGATGTCAAAATCCCGAACTCGTTCCGTCAACTGGCAGACCATCATTTCCCATTATTCGTTACTTTCCACAAGTTTTCGAAAATGCTCCAGGGTACCTACGGTATTGACACTCGAATGTTAACCACAAAACAAAATCAAAAGCACGATAAGCTGTGGAAACGCTATGTTGACTACAATCTTTTCGAAAAGAAGTATTGGAATCATCTCAGTGATTCTTATAGAAAAAAGTTGGATTGCGAGCTGGTCTACTCCGAGTTCTCTATTATCAAGGTATGCAAACTATAATAAACCTTATAGGATAGAATATTCGATTTTGACATTTAAGAGGTTTTTCGATAAATAATATAAAGGGCACGAATATTGAGGTAGACTACCTGTCAAGGGAAGAATACCGGTCCATTAGTACCAGGAAATATCCAGCATTCTGTTACAATCGTGATGAGATTTATGATTTATTTGAGAAATATGAAATGAAGAAGGCGCAGAATTATGACTTTGATTCAATGGATCGGTAAGACTGGACGATAAAATTTTTTTTTTCTGTTTTAAAATTTATATAGAGTTTTCAAAATCTTTTCGTAGGACTCTAGCCATATTACGCGCAATGAAAACAAGGCCATTTGATGGCCCGCACATTCATGAAGTTTACATTGACGAATGTCAGGATAACCAAATTATAGATTACGAGCTTATCTTCAAACTCTTTAACCGCGCTGACAGCATTTATTTGGCCGGAGATGTAGCGCAATGTATTGCTCGGGGGTCTTCTTTCCGATTCCAGGGTGTGTAATATTTGAATAATTAATTATGTTTCAATATCTCTCATCTCTAACTTTATTAAAAATAGACTTATACGCATTAATGTATCAACAAAATCTTAATCGAGTCCAAAACAACCAATACAATTTCTTAAAACCAATAAAGTTTGAACTAAACGTTAACTACCGCTCCCATAACGGGATTCTTCGACTTGCTTCGTCAGTAATCTATCTCATCCAGAACTTCTTCCCTGATTCAATTGACCAACTGTCACCAGAATACGGTGAGATTGACGGTCCACAACCTCTCATCTTCGAGGATTGTCAAGCCGAAACCTTTTTCAACACCGGTATTAATGACAAAGACAATAAGGAAGAGGATACCCTTATCGAATTTGGAGCTAGCCAGGTTGTTATTGTACGTGATAAAGCTACCGTAGATCGTGTGAAAGAAATAAATAAAGATATTAGACCGGTATTTACTGTTTTCGAAGCAAAAGGTTTGGAGTTCAATGACGTGATATTGTATAATTTCTTTACTGACTCGCCCGCACGCTCAAAGGTATGGTTCTATGTATGGTACTTGCTTTGAAGCAAATATATTCATTATTGAATTATGTAAGTATCATATTTAGTGGCGAGTAATTCTCTCCTCTTTGAATGATTATGATGGGGGAATTCGAACCTTCTCCCATGAGAAGCATTATATCCTTTCTTCGGAGCTTAAACATCTTTATGTCGCAATAACTAGAGCCCGGGAGCGCCTCTGGATTTTTGATGAAGATGCCGAGTTGAGCGAGCCAATCAGAACGTACTGGAAATGTAGGAATCTAGTTAAAGTAGCAAAGGAAAATAACATATCTTCCTTGCTTAAAAAGAGTAGTTCATTAGACTGGAATGACGAAGGACAGATGTTTTATGAGCAACAGAGATATGAACTTGTAAATTCATTTTTAAAATAATCTGTGCTATTCAATTTTGAATTATTACCTAAATCAAATAATATCCATAGGCTATGTTTTACTTCCAAAAGAGTGGAAACGAGGAAAGAGTAAAACTAGCTAATGCGTATCATCTTCAAAAGGATGCTAGGGATTCCTTCATAATCGGATCTGATAGAAAAATAGTGGAGTCCAAATTCGCTTCCGCCGCTTTGGCCTTTAAAAAATGTAATTTGTTGAAAAAAGCAGCTTCATGCTATGAGGTATAACTCGCGTTCCCCCTTTTTTTTAAAAAGTTGTGTATTGTCCAAATTTTTGTGTTTTAATTCGATGTAATTCGACTCCAAAATTTCAAAAATAATGCAAACATTCAGGACGTAGACATGTATGAAAAAGCTGGCGATTGTTACGTTGAATTAAATATGATCGAGACCGCTGCGCATTGCTATTTAAAAGGCGAGATGTGGAACAAAGCAGGCAATTATTTTGAAGATATAAAGAATTACGATGATGCAGTTAAAGCCTACATAAATGGTAGAAGTTATGAAAAGGTAACCGATTTGATTCAGAGGTAAGCTACTTTATAAACATCCTAGCGGTACATTAGTATTTGTAATTTATCATAGAAAGTTTTTATTCGTTAATAATTATAGAATAAAAAATAGCGTAACACTCGTTTTTTTAAATTATATAATAAGACGGAGACAAGAGATTTCTAAAGAAACAATCCATCAAGTCAACATCCATTTTCGCAATGAAGCAGAAAAATATCGTTTACATGTAAAATTCGAAGAGGCAGCTGATATGCTTAAACGTACGGTTGACAATGAAGGAGACACAATTGAAGCGTTACGGTGCCTATTGTACCAATGTAGAGTTTATATGCTGAAAATGATGATTACAGATCACACAAGCCAAAGTACCCAGAAGGAGATGGATAAGCTTCATTCTAAAGCAACCGAGATCATTACTAAAATTAAATCCAAATCTGAATATTGGAAGAGCCTAATAGATTGGAAAATTATAATCGAAGAGGGTCAGTTATACTCCTCTTATTTAAATGAAGATCTTAATAGAGTTCACAAGTGCATAGAATTTTTCAGTAATCGTGAGGAACTTGTCGTTGAGTTTTTTGCGGTAATAATATGGCTGCAAATGCCATCACCATCCGATATTAAGATCAAATATTGGGACGAGCGGTTACAATGCCTTTTGAGACTATGTAAATTGACTTTTCCTTTTATAGCTCCACAAAAAAATACCGATATTGCTAAAATCTCTAAAGACTTTGAGGAGATATTTTTTTGTTTTGTAAGCAAAAAGAGCCATAATAAACGGAAGATTTCTTTTAACAATCCATTTTATGATATTCTGGACACCAATCATAAAAAAAATAAAGCCATGGAGGACTGTTGGAAAGTTTATGACGTGGATGTCGTGCATCAGAAAATTTCTCAGTTCCTTGCTTCGTATATCTATAAGCTCATTTCGAAAGCAGAACAGGATGGTAGAAACAACCCAGATATAGCTTCAATAATCTACGCATCATCGGATAATTGTCAAATTCAAAATTGCCGAATGCATCACGTAATTCCGACATCATCATTACCACAACTCCTGAAACTTGTGAGACTCCAATACAAAGTGGTGCGAAGGTTGGATGTATTATATCATTATGGACTTCTTAGAGAGGAGAAAAGTAAAGAATTTCTTGGTTCACAAAAGTGGTGGGCTGAAAAATTGGTTAAATGTCATATAGTCTTTCAATCACCGCAGAAAAACTGCCCGGAGGTTACTAGTATTATAAATGACGCAAACAATATTTGGTTATTCAATGAATCTAAGAGTGTTGGCGACTTTGAAGTTTTGTTAAAATCTATGTTTTTTATTCAGCGGATGATGAACAAAAAAGCCATTGGGGAACTCCATCGGGAAATGTCGAAAACAAAAATGATATCACGCCCTAACGATCTACCCGTTGGTTTTGAATATTACTGTGGAAATTTTCAAGTGATTCCGGTTGGAAGGCATCTCTCGCTATTTTTCTCGTTTCTTCACAATAATAAAGTGATCTCCGCGATCATAAGCTCAACAGCGTTTATTCGTTATGCCATAAAAAATATTAAAAAAGTCAATCTGTCTTCTTCCGATGCTCTCGATGAACTTACGTCTCTCATGGAATTTACAACGTCTTTAATTTTTGCAGTCGGTCAAGAGTATTGCGATATTTGTCTTCCTCGAGCTTATCTAATTAATTACTTTGAAGCATTTACCGCGAAACCACTCATTCCGGGTCGATATATTTATAGCGAAAAGAACTATCTGTATACAATCAATAATTCACTCGTTCAAGTTCAACGACTTCTCAACCTGCTATTTGGTAAGGAACAGGTTAAAATGACGATTATTCTTCGATTGATAAGGCTTATGATACTTATCGGTTTAAACGAACCCACTGTTGCGCAGAAGATTCTTGGTCTTTTCAACTCTTATAGTAAATACATCTTTTCTATAAAATTTAAGAAATACCTAGAAGAGAACAATTTTAAACGTCTTGTGGCCATACTGCATAATGACCTCAGAGAGATACGTTGTGACTCCTTGGTTATCGTTCGTCAACAAAATGTAAGCACATCAAAATTTGCTTGCTTCGAAAAATATGGCATCAAATACCTTACATACAGCACAATTGAGGAATTTCGTTCTTCCCTTCGGAATTTCGGTTGATGATTTTGATTGTTCTATTAATTGATTCAAGTCCTGTAACATGGTTTATAATTTCATCATAGAATTTAAACACCATATTCTTTGAGACCATTCTTATATTTTTATTTTTCGTTAATAAATATCGGGGTTTTTTTTGTCAAACTATTTTTAATATATCAGTATGCTAGTTTCTAATTATTATAATGTTCTAATCAACTTGTTTTTTTTTTTGACTACTATATTGTCTTTTTTTATTACGGTACGGTTAAATTTTTTAATTCGATACGATCCAAGGTGCGATTCTACTGCAAACTATAGATCCTGGCAAAATTCATTTTAACAAAATGGCAAAAGTCGAAACCTTATTTGTTAAAACTTTAATATAGTTTTGATTTTTGACGGGATTTATTATGGTTTCGAGTTTCGACGGTTTTGCCAATAAGATTTTATTATAGTTTTCCCTATAAAAAAAATTTTTCCGTGATTTAAAATTCCATTTTATTTCCAGTCTAAAAACATGGAAATCCCGAGTTACTTAGATTTTTAGTAAATGTATCAAGATTAACGGAATTTTTACAGAAATCACGGATAAAATTTTTTATAGGGTTTGCCAATGACCCCGTAGAAACCCGAGAGTTTTACCATGCAACTAACTATACTGTCAAACAAGTTCTTTGCTATTATTATTCTCCGCTAAATGTCCTCTAAAGTCGGTGATTACAGGTACTTAGTTTCCTACTTTTTGATTTTCTCCAACGGTTTTTTATACTAGTTTTAGTCTATATAAAAAAATATTTAGATAAATTCAATTTTTTCATTATTTTTTTCCAATATAAAAATCTTATTGGCAAAACCGTCGAAACTCGAACCCAGGATAAAGTCGTGTCAAAAGTCAAAAACTATATACAAGTCTTATTAACAAATCCATCAAAATTATAGGGTTTCGACTTTGCCATTTGTTAAAATGAGTTTTGCCAATATAATCTCGAAAGAACGTGAATAAAAGCCTAAGGGTTTGAGTATTGTTAACTTTTAAACTAGTGTGAATGTAGAACCATTTGATGCAAGAAATGGACAGATATACAAAAATCCTGCTGATGCTTCTTGACAAATTTATTTTGGCAAGTAAAAATCCTTTTAATCATGATTTGAATAGAGCCTATAGCTTTTTATTAAATATAACATGACAGAAAACTATGCGAAAATTTGCAAGTGATTAGTTTCTCTTAATATAATTTTGAATACTGTAACAGGAACAGAATTTGATTGTCAGAATAAATTTTCCAAAGAATATATATATGGTACCTTTGCAATAGAAAAAGGGGAAATAATAAAAATGAGTTAATGCTAAATATGAACATATATAGACCTAAAAATCATATTTAGCATATAAAATAAATTGTTTTTTTTGACTTTCTATTGTAAAGGTCCCATAAAATATTTTATGAAGTGAGTGGTCGTTTGTGTAAAATATATTTTCATATAGACATTAAATAAGATATCAATATATTCAACATCTTATCATAATTAAAAATTTTTTAATAACAATATACTGTATATATAAAAGATTTTAATATAGAATTTATTCTATAAAATAATGATTTTTTTAATATAATAGTAAAAATATATTATAATATATAATTAATTTTATTATTAAATTTCTGTTATTTATTTATTCATATTAAGTCTATCTTTTTTTTCATAGATATACTAAAATGAAATAATAAGTATTCTATAATAGAATGCATTCATAATTTTTATTGTAATATTTTGTAAAAGACCTATATTTATCTAATTTTGCAAATATTTATCAATAATTTTAATATTTTAGATTATTTATATATTATACTTTCTTAAATCTCAAATAAAAATGAATATTTTTATAAATAATTAAGTATTATAAATAATTTTAATTTACATACTGTATACAGTCAAAACTTAATATAATAAATTTGATATAATAAATTATTTGATATAGGTATAGAACAGATTTTAACATATGAAAAAATTTTTGATATAGAGAATTTTACTAAGTATATTTGCTATAACCTTATGCAAAGTTAAGTTCTTAAACAATATATATGAAAATGACTTTTGATATAACAAATTTTCTTATAATGAATTTTTTATTACAATGAAACAAAAATACTGATTTGATTTAAATAAAATTTAATTTATTAAAATTATTGTATTATAGAAATTTAAAAACTAATCTTATTAATTTATGATAATTAATTTACTTAAAAATATTTTTTATTTAAAATTTTATTAAATAAAAAATTTAATATAGATTATTATATAATATATAATAAATATTATTAATAAGATATTAAAATTTTTATAAGTTATTTTTAAGATTTTAATTTAAAATAAATATAAGATTATAATTTAGGATTTATAATTAATATATTTTAGACCATTAAAGATACTCAATTAGTAATTACTTATATTTATATTTTTTTTTTAACTTATTTTTTGTATAAGTATTAATAAATAATATAAAGTAATAATATTATTCAATAAATATTTAAAAATAATAATTTATTATAAAATTATTGAATATTAATTTTTTTAATTAAAATATTATTTATTAAAAGTAATATAATATATAATATTTTATAGATATTTACTTAAAATAACAGGTAATGATTATCAATGATATCATGTGATTTAATTTGTTATAATTTTTATGTAAATTTATAATGTAATATATTGTTTTATTACAGTACACAAAAAAAATAATTATAATAATGTTTTTATTTATTATGTAATGCAAACGAATAAAAAATGTATAAAAATTTAAATATATATTCTTTATTATTCTGCGAAAAAGTTTGTCTAAGCTTAATCAATAGTTTATTTTATTATTATTGCCCTTAATTACTTGTTCTAATCTTAATAGTATACTTTTAATTAAATTAGTAAAAATTTCTGGTTCAATTTCCCTACTCTTTTTAAATTATATCAAGAAAAATGTCTATGGTAATTGATTTTTTTTTCACTACTAATTTGTTAATCTATTTCTCTTTAAAATTTGCCATACGTTCTTAATAGAATTGAGGTCTAGACTGTTTAAAAATTAATCCAACTATTTTGGATAATATTCTAAAAGAAGTTTCTTAGTTTTCTTAGTCAAATGCTTCAGATAGTTATCCTATTAGAATACTCAGCGTCTTTCTATGATTGAATTTGCATTATCAAAAAGATTTTTAATAAGAATTTTATGATAAAATGCATCATTTATAATTCCAGTAAAAAGAAAAAATCCAATTTGTCCTTTTACTGAAAAAGCATTCTATGCATAAACTTTATATAGATATTTGACTATAGGTTTTTATGAAGGTTGTATGCTGGCTTTATAAAATATATTTTAAGTATTTTGAAACATTTGAAGTGTGATTTCATCTGAAAAAATGATTTGATTCTAATTTTAGTTTTGATATTTCATGGTGAATTCAATATAATGTTATTTATGAAGAGCAGTAAGCAGAGATATAGATTTTAGAACTGTACTAATATAATTAAAACTGTGAAGTTTATTAAGTACAATTTTTTTGCTTATATTGAGGTTGGTATACTTTTCATTTAAAATATTTTCCAGTTCAGTATATATAGAAAATTTGTTTACTGAAACAAGTTTTCTAAAATGATAACATTTTTTAGATGAAAGTCTTTTTGACCTTTCTGGTTAAGATAAAGGTTCTAAGAAAATGGTTTTTTGAGTTTTCTGATATAGTAGTATATTGTGAGAAGTGGAATAGAGGTTAAAAAATGTAAAGTTTTAGTGTTGTAGGTACAATTTTTTCATAAAGTAGCTATTATTATATAATATTATATAAAAGTATTTTAATCCATATTAACATGAAGATAACGTGACAAAGCATAAATAAAACATAAATAAATAATAATCAGTATTATATAAATATATCTATTATATAATCAAATAAAATTATTTGTTAAACAGAGGTATACTGTAGGAATAATTGAAGTTTTCTGCGTAAAATTTTTATTATAATTATTTTTTTTGTATACTGTATAACTTATTATGGTCCAGTGTAAAAAGGTTGATACACTAAAATTATTACACAAATTTCTCTTATGATACAAGATTTGATAATCAAATCCGGTGGGTGAACTAATTATATATAAGGTAAGAACAGTTTAACTTCAAAGTTATAATCAGTTTTAATCATATTTCTTTCTCATGGAAAATTTAGAACGAGATCAAAATTTTTTAATGAGCAATGAAAAAAAAATGGTGTTTCGTATTCACCAACATTTTTTAAGTATTCGACAATGCCAAAAAAAAATTTATGACTTATCACTATGCAAGGAAGTTGCTGCAGTTCTTGGTATTAGAGAGGCAATAGTTGCACGAATAGTTGCTGAATATAATCAAAGTAAATCTGAAAAATCCTCATCAAAAATTGGTCGACCAAAAAAGGAGCTTAATTATGACTTGGTTAAAATTATTCGTAATATTATTATTTCTTCTAATATTTCTGGTTTACCACTTTCAACACCTATTTTATGAAAGAAGCTTGAAGAAAATGGTTATATTTTTTCAAAATGGCAGCTCCTTCATTTACTTCATATGTTAGGGTATTATTATGGTCATAGTGAATGTCAAAATATGTTATTGAAAATGTGACCTTTCGTAACAATTATTTACAACGTCAGTTTGAAAATTTATAAGGTGGAAACAAGGTTTTAACTAAACTAGAGGTATTTTTAGATGAGTCTTATTGTCATTTACATCATATTACAGGTCGTACTTGGATACCAAATCATGGGATTGTATATGAAGTTAGGCATAGACCTCTAATTATTATTTTTGATGTAATTGTTGTAATGCACAATGGTAACACCAATAAGCTTTTTAGTGAAATCATTCCTAATTTTCTTTTATTATGGGATCCATCAATTAAGCCACCTTCCTCTAGAGGAAGAAAATGAGCAAATGCTGATGAATGGACTAATATTTCTAATGTTATTCAAAATTCAAATATTGTGGCAAATAA